TGAACCTGTGAGATTCTCAGCTGGCACCAGTTCTCACTCGGTGTTTGGACAGTGCTTAGCACAAACCCCACTAGCACTGCAGTCCAAGCCCTCCTTCAGTGCACATGGACTGTTTCAGACTCAGTCTTCATTTAAAAAACTCAGAAAACAGAATTAGTTCTGCAAATTTCTCATTTTTTTCTTGCCATTTAGGACCACGGTAAAAACAAAAATATGTCTCTCTATTGCAGGTCAGTGACTTCCTCAGCACAATTCTAATATTGCTTCACAAAAATAGGTGAGGAGGAGACAGCAAAGGCAGCAAGATTGAGCTCCTTTGATACCTAATTTACTGCACTTGATTCCCTTCAGCTTAATGAAGATAAATGTCCTCCAGCTCATTCAGGCAGATAAAGCTGCTTAATTAATAATACAATGACAGTCTCGTGACAATTGTAATCCCCCAGAGGAATGGTCTATATATTCTGTTTTCAGTTCACACACAATCTCATCCCATTTATCAGATGCTTCTGACAAAACAGTAGTTTTTCTTCCCACATAAGTTATATGAACCTATATATAAAGCTCTCTCCCATTCTACTCACATTTTCAAACAAAAAAACCTAAACACACTAAACATCTGAACAGGACATGATGTGCATGTCCGTAAGTGACCTACAAACCAGCTCTATCTGCCATAGAAAAACTGACAGGACACAACTGAGCTGTACTTTGTGCTCAGCAAAACAAACCCTAAATGCTCTCCTCGTCTGGGTCAATGGGAAAAAGCTCAAAGTAAATATGTAATAAATGCCCAGTGCATTTTAGCATGTTAAAACTCTGCATTAGCTCCTAAAACCACAGGATACCTGTGGGGTTAAAGACCATCAGTACCTCTACACATGAAAAATAAGACCCCTAAGAAGAAGAAGAACTATTTAATCTCTCTAAAACCTTCTATAAAGAAGCTGCAGTACATCTGCATCTGTGACTTTCCACAGAAAAAGGATAATGTAAGCCTAATTCCATTTTTAGTCAGAGCTTAAAACCTCTTCCTGGTCACTAAAAAGCCCCAAAGGTGTAGGTCAAAAACCAGCCAGAAACAAAACTTAGAGCTTGATCTCCATATTTTGCTTCAGTCACAGCAGTGGCACAAGTGGGCTAAAATTTGATACAGATGCACTGATTCTCTTCCTCTCCATTGTTTCCATCTGAACAATGAGATGGAGATTTAAAAAACAAAACAATTCCCCCTGAAAGAAAAAAAACACCTCACCAAAGTCAGGGTAGAGGATAATGATATTTGTATTTCAAGCAGAACAAACCCAAGGTTGTCCAGCTTCCCCCAAATACACTAAAAGAAAGGGATGAGGGGGATCAGTTTTCACCTCTTCCACGTGCCTTAAGTTCTAGAGCAAGATCTGAAAAGAACTGAAGTTATTAATTCATTACTTTTACTACGTGTGCTTAAGACATTTATCTACATCAAACACACAGTCACTGAGTGATTAAAGCTGTTCAAACACAATACTTGGCTTTCTCCCAAGCTCCAATAATACTTTTCTTGCTATATATAGACTTCTTGGAGTTTACATTGCTTTAAAGTGATACAGGGAGAAAAACAATCCTGATTTCACCACCAAAACAATGGGCTCAGAGCTGATGTGTCAGCAGCAAGACAGTCCCCTGGAACTCTGACACTGCCCAACGTCATGGTGGAGCTCAGGAGTCAAAAAAGCAAAGCAAAGAGCAGAAAGGGAGCAGAGAACAAGCAGCATTACAGCACTGTGTAAGTTCATGTTTTCCATGCATCCTGAACCCTGTGCAGCTCCGGGTCCCAAAATAGCAGAGCAACACTCAGGAAGGTTTAGGGGAAAGTAGAGAGAGGTGTGGAACAAATTCTGTATGAAACAATGAAGGGAGCGAAGGTGTTTCAGCCTCAAAAAGGTTTTCAAGACAAAACAGGCAAATGTGGGAGAGGTTCACAGAGAAACAATCAACATGGACAGACTAGGTAAGGAATCACTGTTGCCTCTTCCAGACAAGAGCTAAATAAGTGGCAGACCCAAGACAAAGTGTAAATGAAAAGGTGTTTCTTGAAACAACAGGTAATAGAGCCATAGGAAATTCCAGACAAAAGATGCTGTAAATGCTGCAAGGTTCTAAGGGCTCAAAGGATAACTGAACAAGTTCCCTGGCAGGGGGAGGGGAAAGCAAACAAAAAAATCCATTAATGGTTACTAAATATACGGAAACCACATCCAGCTCAGGAAATCCCTGAGCTAAGAATAGTTAGGAGCTGGAAGAGGATTACAGAGTCCTGTACCATGTGCATCTCCATCCCACACGTATTTGCTTATGACCATCACTGGACAAAAGGCACCAGAGGCATCTTTGGTCTGAGCCACCAGGACTGTCCTTAAAGATCCAAGTCATTCCTACAGGAATTTTCCTTTAAAATGGTGGTGCCAGGAATCTCATATCTCACTATATAACCTTGATTGGATGTTGAAATGTATTTCATAACTCATGTAGCAGTTTAGAAGTTAAGAGCAAACACAGCCACTAGAGTTATCAACCTTGGGGACTATTCAAGCTCACAGGACACCTCTGTTAGGGTAAGAGTGGCCAAGAAAGCACCTTTCCCCGAAACAGTTCACTTTTGAGTTCTCTTCCCTTTTGACTGACAATTTTCCAAGACTGTTGTAAGCAACAGCTCTTACAAGAAATACAAATCAATTCTTTTCAACAGAATCATGTTAATGAGATTCATTACTGCATCCAAACCACTACGGATCATTATCCACAGCTACGTCAAACTCGAGGCTGCAGCAATTGCCTTTATTGGCTCCTGTCTGAATTTCACATCCTTTCTCTTCAGCAGTAAGTATTTCTAGTACCTGCCAGATCAAGGTGTCTGTTTCAAAACCCTCCTCCGGTGTACTGAAACTCCAGGCTAGGGCACCACTTAAATATCAACAGTAGTTTTACAGTACATTTGATTTCAAGTAATAATTGTTATTACAATTTTCCCTCAAACAGTTGCAAAACTATTGAGCCATTTCTTATTCACATTCTGGCAATGGCATCTGTAGACACATGCAGCCAAAGCTCAGCTTTAGGCCAGTGACTTGAGATGCATGGACTCAAACTCTGCCTGATGAGCTGTTTCCCACAGACACCGTGTCTCTCACCTGTCTGTTCCGCTCATCCATTATTCTCGTGATCTGGATTTTCTTTCGCCCCATTTTTGGCTGCTTCTTTCTTTCGCTTTGCAATCCAGAAATACACTAATCCAAGAAATGTCCTTCTTCAGTATTCTAACACATGATACAGTTTTCTGTTCTTTTGTCTTCAGCTTGAGAAACAGTTCCTATTTCTTCTTATAAGCACCTAAAAATTAAAATGTTGAAAAAAATTAATTCATAATTTACTCCAGAGGAAGCATCAGTAAGCACTTGCATAGCCATAAAACATCTCAGTGAAAAAACAAGTCTTTTCACTAGTAAAATAGTATATACTACATCCTTTGTCCCAATTAAACAAACAACAAATTCAAATGTCCTATCATTTCATACACCTTCAACTGGATGCCTTAAAAACCTACAGTTGTCCCAGGGACAGTGCTCAGCACTCAAAGCTTTAGAGGCCTTGAGTTCTATGAGGTTTCAAGCCCACAAAGATTTGATATTTTAGGAAACAGAAATACTTTGTATTTCCTGTTCCTCTTGTAAGTTAATAATAAAGATAATGAAACAAAGCCATGAGAATACAGAGTTTGTGTTCCTAAACTAAATTACCTCTCATTTTGTAAGACAGTATTTGGGGTGTCAGTGGGAAGCAGGAGGGAGAAGCAGAGGGAATCTCATTACTTGGAAAGAACAAAGATCACAGAACATATTTTTGAACCAAAACTATTGCCCAGCTCCCATGACACTGATGAATAATTAAGACATTCACACAGCTCCTCTCTCCACAATAACCTGTGAGTTACACACCTGCCAATCCCCAGTACCAGTGCAGCCCCTGGTTCACCAGGGCTATGGTTTACAAAGAGATCTGTGCATGCAGCTTGAACAGCCACTGTGCCATCAGACTGGAATCTGCACTCAACTAAATGATATTTAACACACTTCAAATGCATTTACAGCAAAAAAAAAAATAATTGCTAAGCCATATTCCAAACAGACTGAACTGCAGGATGACACGAACTGAAGAAAACCGAAGCTTATTTATCTTATTACCACCTACAGCTCATTAAAAGGGATAAAACTAGCCCCAGTATTAGCTGATAAAGGGATAAACCCAGGCCCAATATTAGCTGATAAAGGGGTAAACCCAGCCCCAATATTATCTGCTAACCTCTCCAACTCTGCAGCCCTGAACATCTCCTGCAATCCAGCCTTGCATATTTTAATAAGGGTGTCACAGTGCCATATCCTTGAGGCCATGTGTAGAGAGTGGTGCAACCGCATCACCATCACACAGTTAATGAGCAGAGACAGCAAGAGGCGATTAGTCACAGGCTGCACTTCACAACACATTCAATTTACACCGAGCAAACAGCAGCGATGTTCTGGGGAGGAGAAGAAAAAAAAAAAAAAAAAAGAGGTGGAGGAGCATCACCAACTGTAGGATTGCCATTCTCCATTTACCTGATAGCAGCAAACGACTGCTTGGGTAGAACATTGCAACAGGACTTAGAAACACCACTCCGTGAAATCTAAAATCAAATCCACACTAACAGTCTGATGTCCACTGGTCTAAAGGATGTGCACTAGACACTGTTTATACAGCAAAACACTTAGAGCATATCTCAGCATGGCACTCCTTTGGTTTCCTTAAGGACAAAACATTTCTTCCAAGGTATTAACAGCAAGTCACGGCCAAATGAACCTGCCCCTACACAGCCAACAGCACACAGCAAACATCTTGCACGGAAAGCAACAGCTGCCAGAGAGATTTATACCTTTTTGTGTTAAAAAAACCCCCAAAAACCAACAACAACAGCCCCACCAAGAATATCCACTGCAGCCTAAGCTTCAATTCCTACACCATTCAGTTGCAGTCAGCTGCCCCTCTCGCTTGAAAAGAAAACGACTCTCAGCTCATGCTATGATCACACATTAAATCATCTCATTAAATTTAGTTCTGCAAAAATCTGGTTGCATTCCTTGAACATACCTAAACCAAAGGGTCCCTGTAGCCAGCTATTAAAATTCTTTTTCTCCTTCATGCATGGCTTCATTTTTCAAACCTACCATGGACTGCCAAACATAGAATTACCAGATTCCTTCCTCTGCTTTTTAACAGCCCTCACCATCAGAGCTAGCACCCAGTAACAGCCACCACACAGGACACCAAAGATCCATCTGGTCCAGCATTTGATCCCTGGCTAGTAGCAAATATCGCTAGGATGGTAAAGGAGGAACACAGGACTGGAATAAGCATATAGCACTTAAAAATAACATTTATAAACCATGTTCTCCACATATTCAATGCTTTTTAAATCAGGAGCTTCTGGAGCCATTCCACCACCTGCGACACACATTTGAAAGCAAGTCGATGCAGGGAATAAATAAGGAACTCAGGGGAGAACAGGGAGAGAGGAAGATAAATATGATGGCAGATTATGCAATATATACACTTAAGGATACAAAATAAGAGATGCACAAATGTTTTGCATGAGCTAATGGATGAAATGGTAGCAGGAAAACACTACTTGCTCTATGTACAAGCACACAGAGGGAAATGGGAAAACTGATAGTAATTTTCACCCACATTTTGTTGTAATTTTTGGGTTTCATTTCAGGTCTTTCAAAATTAATGTTCCCTACCAGGCATAAAGGCCTCAACGTTTCCCATTTAGGACAGCCCACTGTTCCTTCTCATCTCTGCTCTGCTACTTGCTTCAACCTTAAACACCTTTCTCACTTAGGAATCCCAAATTCCTGTTTGCATGTCTGTCCAGCCTGTCTCCAGGCTCTCCTCCCTCTCCCACAGGTTGCTATGGACACCACAAACCTGGCTGTGAACTGCATTTGCACAGGCAGCCCAGCCTGGATACAGCATCCCTGTCATTCCCAAGTCACAAACAAGGTGATTCTCAAAGCTAAAAACTGAAACAGAAGTTTGGCTTGAGCTTAGGCCAAAACAGGACCTTGACACTAACTGCAAAATCAGAGTATTTTGTGCAGTAAAAAGCACTTCTCAAGCATGCTCAGAACATCCAAGTGGGAAGTTCCCACCACTGACTATGGCAATTTCCCATGGGAGCAGTGATTTTTCCTTTTTCTCATCCTTGTTCGTGTCAGAGTTGTGGTTTTATTTTCTATCCTGACTAGCAACAAAACTATGTGAGATAAGATACAGGACTGTGTCCACTACAGGGTTATATCAAAACTAAAACTACCAAAGCCTCCATTTTGCATTGCAAACACACTCCAGGCAAAACTCTACATTCACAAAGCCATTTCATGTACATCACCAACACGGTTTTGCCCAAACAAAGGAGAAGTTGCAGACATATATGAAGATCAAACACATTTTTTTTCTGAAAGTAAATGTGAAACTAACACGAAGTAACCTTGATGAGATGAAGTTCTACTTCCTTAAGTGACAGGATCAAATTACAGCCACCAAAACTGCTTTAGATTACCTACATGGACACACTGGAGCAAATCTAGTTTTTTTTTTAAGGATCTCAGGCACCTATTAAAGAAAACAGCAAGAGGAAGCAGAGCAAAAGGGAAACACCCCCCCCATGCTTCATGGTGAGCTTCAGACAGAAAACACTGTCAGCCTGCAATAAAAGCAAGAAGAATTAGATTTGTGGCTGTCCAAGTAAAGCCTCTGTTATTGGTCATCAGGAAACTATTCCAAATCTTCTCGATTTAGTCCCTTCCCCAACACATGTGAAAGCAGCACACTAATTACAGACAGACAACAGAGCCACATGCACAAACACACCCTCACTGCACATTTTCAGGAACTCCGTTGCTTATGGCTTCATAAATTACAAGAGAGAGAACTTTAAAGCAAGGAGACTGTATTTGACCTATTTAAAAAGATTCTTCCAAGGGTTCAGTGGAAACAAATTACATCTGTGCAAAACTGCACAGGGTCTGGAAGCCTCCTGGCAGAACAGGTTAGGAAAAACTGTGTCAGAATGGTACTCCTTCCATTTAATTTCCTTTTATTTCCCTCTGCCTCCGTTTCCCTGACACTTTCATTTCACCACCCTGGTCACAGGTTGCCTGTGACAGTACCTGTGTCACCACAGCTCAGTTACTGCGACGAGCACACAGAAACCAGAGTCCTGACGTCAGAGAATTTGCATGAGAAGTCTGAGGCCACAGCTGCAGGAGAACAGATCTGTGCAGATGCAGCTTACACTGCTAAGCCTTGGCTATGGCTTACTAAATAACAGACAATAATTTTTACTAAATCAAGATTAATAGGTTTTTTCTAGTCTTAAAGGAGCCTGTGCAGATGTTTTTGTAGATCTGGCCCCACAGACTGCACCCAAATCGCAGCCAAAGTGCACTCAGCAGTAATTCTAACCCTTTGCACACTTAGGTCACCAGAACACAAACATTCCTATACAGAGCACGGATGAGGCTCATCTCCACGTGTTTTACACTGACAAGGCAGGTAACAGAGTATCTCATTTTTCCATAGTACCTGTGACCATGTCAGTGTCCTTCCCCCCTGTCCCACAGTGCTAAGTGGAAACAGCTAGGAAAAATTGGGAGTCAGGTAAAATGTCTTCACCAAAATAATTTATTCAGGGTTAAAGGGCTACATGGAGTAAGGTCAAACATGACTCTCAGACTCCATTTCACTGTCCAGAAGTCAGAGATAGGAACATTTTCTTCTTCACAACAGAATACAAACCCATACAGAGTGACTATACAACACCACCTTTCTCTAAAACCCAAACTAATCACACAAAACACATTCACTCTGCTCAGACTGCACTGACACATGCTGAGAGTCAAGGGATGTTATTCCCGTGCTCTGGACATCCTGATCCAAAACTCACTGCTACCACCTCAGAGCTAGATTTGAAAATCAACATTTCAAGCAAAGGGACTTCATGTACCCTGAAGTTTGCATTTAGCAGGGACCACACTGAGATCCTTGTGGAGTTTTTGCAGAGGTTTGCAAAAACAGTAACAAAAGTGTCTCCTCCAGCCACATCTCTCTGCCCTGTCACCATGCATTGCTGTGAGTAATGTCACATGGA